GGGGCACGTCGCCGTTGAGTCGGAACGCCGCCTCGTCCTCCCTCTCCAGCCTTTCCCTGTGGAGGTACGGCCGCTCGATGGTGTTCTGTGCGCTCCAGGGATCCTTCACGAGCTCATACTCCATGTCCTGGGTCTCCAGGGAGTTCCGCTGCCCTGTGAAGCAGAAGGGAAAACCCCCTGGAGCTCCGCGCCCTGGGCAGAGCCTCAGCCCACCATGAGCTGCAGCCAAGCACGAAGGCGCCCTGACCTACCGTCAACATCCAGGTCCACCTTGTAGTGGATGTGGTGGAGGTGCATCGTCCCCAGTGTGTGCGGCCCAAGTTGGTGCCTTGGCCATGGAGGAAGGAGGAGCTGATGTAGCCGGTGGCGTGCACCCGGACCTCCACGGCCCCGCTGCCGTGGAACATAAAGTCCCAGATGTAGTCGTAGTTGATGAGAGTGGAGACAGCACGAATCACTAGCGTGGTTTTCCTCAGCCCACCGTAATAAAAGGAATATGAGTCAGAGAAGTGGCGCCGCAAGGGGAGGGCAGCATCATGCTCAAAAATGCAGAGCGAGTTTTGGTTGGTTTTGGGGGTATCTGACTCAGCCAGGTAGTGCCAGTCCACATAAGTTGCCGTGTAGGGGCAGTCGAGGCCCCGGACAAGCTCGTAGGCAAACCTGCCGATGCCAAAGCTCCCATCGAGGTAGCGGGTCGACATGCCCCCAGGGCAGTTGGAGCCATACAGGGCTAAGGCTTCCTGGAGACTGAGCTCGTAGACAATTCGCTCCCCACGGTACCTGATGTCTACCTGATGTCGAAGAGGCGTGGGCCAGAGTTGGGGTTCATGCCGAAGGCGATGCTCCAGCCCTGGAAGGTGACACGGTTGAGCCTAACGCTGTAGCGGGGACCCTGGGGCTCATACTGCAGAGGACCTGGGGTGCCAGGAGGGCTCTGGGGTCTCATCGAGCCCAGCACCGCTTCAGCCTGGGGCTTCTCAATCCTGATGACCTCAACCAAGTTGTCTTCAAACGCATGTTCCAGGTCCTGTGTGCTGTCAAAATACTGGCCGTTGTAGAATACTTTGCGCAGCTGCCATCGGGAGGCGCGGAGGGCGC